ACAAAATTACACTCAGACCACTGCAAAATCTCTGGAGAATAAGGGGGTGGCAAGAAAGAGCAACTATGAAATAAAAATAATTTTACAATTCAAGCGAAAGCAGGCAATGAAAGAAATATGAAGACAAGGAGAGAAAAAAATAATCCTGTAACTCCATGACATGACATTTTAATTCTTTTGAAATGAAGAAACCATATTCTCTGCATTATCTCAAATATTAAACATTAAACAGGTATAAAATGCTTCTCCTTGAAAACAGAGGAGTGAATATGACTCAAAGTGAAACAAAAATTAAATTTAAGGAAAAGCTCTCAGAGTTTTTTTCCCCATTTTGTTCTAAGGGATTATTTTATCGATTATGTGTTTATATGCAATTCAATTTAAAATACTTTATTCATTACAAATTTACATGTAAGCAGCAAACACTGCAACATACAACATACAGTGAAATGATAAAAACATAGTATCACAACATTTCTAAAAAAATAAAAATAAACAAAAACAACAAAAGATCCATACAATAATTATTTGAGTAACAAAGTGTTTTTTGCATTGTAAGTCATCTGCCCTATACTAAAAAATAAAATAATAATCAATCCATTACATATTTAAGTAAGTATTAAAGTACATGTACAGTACATTAGCAGAGGGGATTCTCTCCAGAAGGGATCATATAGATTAAACTTTCTTTACACTCATTATTTCTGAGCTTGGTGACTTCTACAACAAAGCTAAATTTTCTTGTATTTGTCTTGCACAGCAGACAGTGAAGACTGATATAATCCTGATATCAAAAGTTCAAAAGGTCAATGAAGTATATAACTTGCATCTTCAATGATGGCATAGGCCTTTCTAAGGATCAGATGGACACGAAGATCCCAAAATTCACCAAAGTATGAATTTAGAACTAAGGTTCACAACATAAAACTGTCTAAAGAGAGCAGGAGTAGGTGTTAAAAGACTCCACTCAGTTACACTCACTTCAACAACACTTTAGGGTTCTGCCACTTTTAGTATTCCATGTGAACATGCTTAATGATAATAATAATACAACTTTTTTAAGAGTAGAACTCAATTTTTGTATTTTTGTAAAGTTCAGATTTGCAGTGTTTTTCCTGGAATAAGTGGCTGTTGGAGATTAGTAGGTTTGAACGACAGATTGTGAAATTGTTTTGAATTTATTTTAAAAAAGGGTAAAAAACGTATTCAACTCATCAGCTCATCAGCTGATTCCATCCTGTTGAACGACTTCTCAAACTTGTCAATTTGTAAGATCTATAAAAGCATTCCAGTTAGTGCTGTCAAGCAGATTTTAAAGTTGTCAACTTTATTCAACTCTGATGATACTTTTTTGTTTGATGAACTGTTTTGGCCACTGCCTCTATGAACTTTACTACTGGCTTGTAAGCAGAAGCAAGCAGGGTGGCATTATGGTCAGGAGCAATAGCATACTCCACTTAACTACATAACCACTTAAAATAAAAAGATTATAGATTCCTTTCTTTGTGTCAGTTGTACAGTATGTTAAGGGCTTAAATGCTGGAATTCACCACTCGAAAAGTCACTGCAAAGAACATTAGATTGCCATTTGTTCGAGGACACTTCAAGTTTTTACTGGTTTTTTTTGGCGGGTACTGAACAAGCTGCTACAAAACAATTTAGATATCCTCCCTCCAAGGCCATTTTTATGTTCAACAAGACTAACAAGCTAAGGATCAATTCAATTACATTTATTGCTGGAGGAATATTGTGAGTTTACCAAATTAACAGTGAAAATGTGAAATTATCTTTACCATGTTATCAATAAGGATTATATTTTTACCTCAGCATTTCTGTTGAGTCAAAAGTTAATTAGTTAATTGCTGGAAATTGATTTTCCAGATTTTCCATCTCATCTTGTCTCTCTTTACAGAAATCCTAAAAGCATCATAAATAACAATATATTATACTGAAGAGTGGTCCATCAGCTGAAGGCTCTGTAGCTGAAACATTGTGCTTTTACTATTATCTTTTTTACTTTTCATGGTGAACTCAACCTCTTTTTGTTCTTTTGAGCTTGCACAATGTCACTTCTCCCCATTCTAGTGCATTAAAAGATATCTACACTTGATGAATTAGTGAATAACAGTCATGGATACAGGGTGCCAATGAATATGCAGAAAAAATAATAATGCCATACGCAAATATGTATCTTACTTAAAACATATATAAAGTGATACCTCTTCATATATTTGATCTCTAAGTTGATTCCTGGACATTAAAGTGATTATTCAATATACTGTTTAGTATGGATGCCGTAACTGAGACTACAAATGCCAGTAACAATGCCACCAATAGTGCACAGAAAATGTGATAAACCCTGTACTCTGACATGCTTGTGGGACCTGTAAACTTGTTCACACATTTGGTCCATGAAAATACAACCAGCCACTGTGATTTGATTGAGTACCATGGTGTCATTGCTTTCAAGCAAGCAATATAGTCTATCAGCGGACGTACAGTATTTATACAGTGGAAAATGAAATTGCTGTA